ATTCAGCGAAGTGGCAAAAATGAAAGAACTATCTTCTGAAACTTCTCTGCAAAACACAATTAGGGTTGGACTCGCATCTGAGTACTCATAACCTCACTGAAATAAAAAAGCGAATAAAAGTACAATTGAAAGAAATTTTGTCAAACGGGATTGCAAAAAATAAAAACCAAACACATGTATTCGCATCGGTAGCTTTCTTCTTTGATGATGATAATGTTTGTCTGGTGCATTGGTAGCTTTCTTCTTTAATTATGATAATGTTTGTCTGGTGCAGTTATTGTGGTTGTTTGTTCATACCTCACTGTGCATTAGTGTGAATTATTAACTTTTCTTCCAAATTTATATTAAAAAAAAAATTATGGTGTGTAATTTTTCTCAACAGATAAATATAAAATAAATACTAAGATAATTCTTTCATCTAAAAAAACTATTACTAAGATAATTCACTAGACTAATAAAGAAGTAAAAGAAAATACACACACACAGATATATATATATATATAAATAACTAATTTTATTAATACATAAATTATACTCGTATAACAAATGACCAATTCTATTAATAAATAAATTAACAAATTTTAATGATATGAAAAATATTTTTCAGTTAATCATTTTGTTAATAAATAAATCATTAAATTAATCAACAGTTTTTAATGATATGATAAATGTTTTTCGACAAACAATTTTGATAATTTATTATCGCATAGGAGAGTAAGTTTTTTTATTATTATTTTTTTTTTCCATGAGTATTGTGTTAAATGAAAATTTATAATAAACGATCGTTGTAATTTCTAATATTATAGGACCGATTCATATTTTAAACAAACTTTATAGGTGTATTTCTAATTTGTTAAAAAATAAAAAATTTATGTTTCATAATTGACCAAAAATGTTTGCTTAATTACGAAAAAACCTGTTTTATGATTGACCAAAATATTCGCGTAATTACAAAAAAAAAAAATAATTGTTTCATAATTGACCAAGAATGTTTGCATAATTACAAAAAAAAATATTTACTCAACAAATAAGCCACCATTAATAAATTATTTAAAATGAAAGAGCAATGTCAAAAGAGAGAGAGAGAGACAAATCTCAAGCAATTAAGCAATTCTTATATATATATACATGATATGCGATACACTTATATGTATTATCCACACAGAAACACTAACACGGAGGACAACGACCAAACACAAACACAGAGAGAGAGAGAGAGGTGCATGACGTACGTTTGAAAGGGATACAATAATGAAGAATTTGGTTAGATCTCATATACATCGTCAACAGGATTTGTATATTAAAATTTGAAAATCACAAATCATTTTCGCTTAGTATAGATTGTGACCACTAAATTATATTAAATTACAGTTGATGCATGACCTATCTTACTATACACAATAGTAAAAATAATTATATAACATGATTTGAATAAAATATTTATTGCAAAAAAGATTTAAAAATTATATAATTGTTGGCTTATTTTTCCTACGAAGGAAATTATCATAAATGCGAGCGTGCCAATAAGGATTGAAAAATTCTTACGGATTAAATTCAAGCCAATTATCAAGCGATTGCGTTGACGGTTCTTTTGCCTCAACAAAGAGGACTTCAAAATTGCTAAGTGTAGAGAAAAGAAAAATTAAAAGAAGAAAGAGGGAGACGGAGAAAGATGATTGAGTGAACAATCAAAGTAATAATTACTTACTTCTACCCCTATGCTTTGAAAATGAAGTGCATAAAATGTGTTGAAAAAGAAATGTTGAAAATAAATGCTTCGAAAAGGAAGTACATAAAATAAAATATAGGAAATATAAATGACAAGAAAAATAGAAATCAATTATCTTTGATTTGAGTTTTGGATCCTTTACAATGTAGCCATTGATGGCTATTTATAGAGGAAAAAATGCAGCAATAATTACTTAGTAACTACCCATTTCTCCCATCTTCATCATTGTCTTGCCATGTGCTCTTCCACTCATCCACTTTGTTTTTCATGTTCTCCATCATCTCCATAACTTCTTTTAACTTCCAAATGAATAAAAGGATGCCATGTGTCTTGAAAATAATAACAATAATTATACTACTACTACTAATAATAATAATATTTTATGGTGCCAACAATAATTTATTCAAATCAAATGAGAACCAAAAATATTAAATACAATAAAAGTCCAATTATTTGGTCAGAGTTTTATCTCTACCTTAAGATAAAGAAATTAGTTCCTCATATCCATATAACTACCACACTTCAATATGTACAAACTAAACTCTTCCAATTTCCCTTTGTTTCTATTTTCCTCTCCTTTCCTCCTGGCCGAAACCTTCGCCTGCTTGGCCTCAGCTGTTGCCTGAGGGGGAGTGGTTGAGGTTGGGCTGCCGACACTCTTCTTTTTCTTTCATTTCTCTTTGACTTTCGTTGCTCCTCCCTTTCTTTCTCCCCTCCTTTCTTTTTATTTTTTTATTTAAATTATTTTATAATATAATATAATATAAAATATGTAAAATATATTATTTATAATAATTTATGTATAAACATCTAAAATATATAAAAACACACAAAATTATAAAATAATACAAATTAATAGACTAATAAAATATATTTTAACGGATCAAATGTATAACATCTAGATTTCGATCATATACCATTGCTCAAATAAATTCATCTGGGAGGAAATTTATTTACTATGAATAATATTTCCAATTTTGTAAATAATTTAAATAAAAATAGGAAAATTATGTAGAAACTCATTTTTTAGACTTATTTTCTAGATTCAATAGTGTATAAATGAGAGATTGATTGAAAATTAGAAAAGACATAAGAGAGAGAGAGAGAGAGAGAGAGAGAGAGAGAGAGAGAGAGATTCTAATAGATTGCCACATCATTAAGTTTGAAAAATGAGTCTAATTTTTTAGCTAAAGTAGCATGACCAGAAAAATATATCTTTGGTATTGTACAATTTGACTTGGCTTCTCTCCAGTTTAATCATGGACTTGGGGTGTTATTTGAGTTCATAGGACCCATCACGAGTCTTGTTTGATTATTTGAATCGTTAGTTTTGTCAAGTCCTTCACGTATGTCATCTAAAAAATTAAATAGGTCGTTCTAATAATCAGAACTTATTTAATTCATTGCATTTGTCATTAAGAAAATAACTAATAAGTGTGATTTTAAAAATAGACCATCTAATATTTTGGTAACAATCATGATAAATTGAATAGGTTACGAAGTCTGATCGATCCAATTTTCTTGTGATATATGTGAAAAGTACAATAAAATCAGTGATTCAATTCATCAAAAAGGAGAGTCGTGGCGACTCTCGGAGGTTCCAACAACAACCTTCAATTCAAATCATGGACAAGAAGGGATCCAATTCCAATACAATTTTATATTGATTAGAAAAGTAATGAATTTCAACTTTAGTAAAATAGTGAGAGTGGGTTAATATTAATTGACATTTTCTAAAATATAAGAACATAGAGAACGTCATATTAGGGTGCACAAAATATTCAGTAATTCGACGAGATGAATCGATCGTTTTTGAATTAGGTTGGTTTAATTTTTGAGTACATTAATTTCCAAATCGTCGACTCGATAGATATCGAGTTAGTATATTAACTTGAGAACATAATTTATTTATCTATATATATATTATATAAAATTTTATTTGTATTGATATGTATTCACCTATACAATTAGAGGTGTGCAGAGATCCGACCCACCTGCCCAACCCGCCCGGACCGTTTGACTTGACCAAAAAAGGGACGGTTTCTACGCACAGTTTGGTCGGCTGCGGTTCTGTAAGTGCTGATTTTTCAATTTTCGGTTCGGGAAATGGGTATGGACATACCAAACCCGTCGAAACCGACCCGACCCATTGTCTTTGCCTTCTAGATTTTTTTATAGCCAGCCACATTGGTTTTGGAGATACAATTATTACCCTATGATAGTTGAACAGTGTATACCCACAATTTGTGTATAGGGTCCCTACCTATTAGAGCATCAGCATCAGAGTCGCTACAATGACTTTGACGCTATTGTAGAGAGCCAAACTATAAATATGTTGATGCATCAGAGTCGTTATAGGCTTCATTCATTTTGACAAAGCTACAGTTCCTCCTCTGATGAAGCGAGGAACTGTTCACAGGGTAATCAATTTTTTATTATATTTTCTGATGAAGCGAGGAACTGTTGTGGGCAGCAAAACTGAGCTGGAGCAAAGCTAGGGTCGTCCCCCCGGATGTCCCATAAGAAGAAGAAAATGCTGAAATTTTGCATAATCGGTCGACCGCCCAATTGACCACCCTAGCTCATGTGTTGCTACTGTTCTGTTGTTGCTTTGGTGCTGTCTTGGGTCTTATTTTATACCTGTTTTACCATCATTTTGCATTCCAAAAATATGGTTAAACACAAGGAGCATTTAAGGATTATAATGATTTAGTTAAACTTTTCCAATTCAATTATAATCCAATTTTCATTACTAAAACAAATAATTAAAAACATAATACATTTATTTGCCACAAAATAATTAAAACATGAAACCTTATTCCTATGACTGGCTATATAGTTGCCACAAGTGCTCAACAAGATCTGATTGGAGTTGAGAATGAATTGCTCTATTTCTGATACGGTGATTTTGTTGAATGAATTCCATAAGCTCGATTGTATGCTCATGTGACACTTGTGCCAAAGGGGTTTCATCGATTTGTTCAAAATCAATGTCTTGTGCTTCATTGTCATCTCGATCATCCTCAATAATCATATTGTGCAATATTATACAAGACTTCATAACAACTTTAATTGACTCAAGATTCCAAGATCGTGTAGGTCCACGCACAATTGCAAAACGTGCTTGAAGCACCCCAAATGCACGCTCCACAATCACATCCTTCCTACATGCCTCTTGGGCCAGAGCGAAATGTTTTTTCTTATTTCCTTGTGGACATGGAATTGTTTTCACAAACGTTGCCCATGATGGGTATATACCATCAGCAAGATATTATCCCATTGTATACTCATTATCGTTGATGGTGTGATTGACTGGAGGAGCACGCCCTTGAGCAAGCTCAGTAAATACAGTAGACCTTTCTAGTACATTGATATCATTATGAGACCCAGGTAGCCCAAAAAATGCATGCCATATCCAAAGATCATATGATGTAACTGCTTCCAAAATAATTGTTGGTTCATGGGTGTGACCAGTATACATACCTTTCCATGCAGCTGGGCAATTCGTCCATGTCCAGTGCATACAATCAATGCTTCCCAGCATTCCAGGAAAGCCACGACTTTTGCCAATTGCTAGTAGTCGAACAATGTCATTGTTGTTTGGTGACCTCAAATACTTATCAGAATAAATTTCAACCACTGCTTTGACAAAATAAAATAGACTCTTCATTGTGGTACTTTCTCCAATCCTCAAGTATTCATCCATAAAATCAGCTGCTACTCCATAAGCGAGCATTCTAAGTGCTGCAGTCATCTTCTGAAGGGAAGATAAACTGAGCACTCCAGCACTAGTTCTTTCTGGACAAAATGTGATTCATGAGCTTCTACCGCAGACTGAATACGGAGAAAAAGAGAACGTTTCATTCGAAACCTCCTCCAAAATACATTGAAAAGATATACTGGTGGATCAGCAAAATAATCTAGAAAGAGTCTTTGGTGACCTTGCAAAGAATTGCACCAAATGAATTTGCGGCGTTGATTAGAATTATGCCGTGATCTTGATAAACTATTGGTTGCTAGTCGTTGCCCTTCCATAACAGCTATCCCAATTGTCTCCAACTCATCGTCAGAGTCAGAGTCATAAAGAATCATATCGTCTAGTGAATGAAGATCCATATGGAGAAAATAAATACAAAATGAAATAGCAAAATTAGGCTGATCTGAATGAAATTTAGATCGTAATTTTTTTTATTTATATTGAAAGAATATGACCGTTGGAATATGACCGTTAGAATAATATGACTGTTAAAATATAGCCGTTGAAATATGACCGTTAGAATATAGCCATTGGAATATGACCGTTGGAATATAGCCGTTTTTAAAATATGACGGTTGGAAAAATATATATTTAAATTGAAAAAGATAAAAGAATAAAAAATAATATTTTAATGAAATAAAATTTTAAAATAGAGAGTTTGATGGAGTGTGTATATAAAAAAGAAGCTAGCTAAAATATAAAAGTAGATTTTGGGTTATAATTTGACTCAAAATTTGCTGAGGCTGATGTGGATTCTCTTACGTACCTAACCCATCTCACAATTCTCAAGAATAGAGAGAGACGTTTTGGCTGCTATACTCCTTCCAAGTTCCAAGTTCCAAGTTCCAACTTCCAAGATACATCCATCTACTATGGCGGTGTTTGGCAAGTTGGTTTTTGGATTTTTTATTTTTTATTTTTTCACTACAAGACAAATGTTTTACAAAACCAAAAAAAACCAATCCAAATAAAATATCACATCAAACCCCATAATCATTTCACTTTTTCTCTCACAAATATCACATCCAACCACAAAAAAACCCAACTATCTTTCCAAACACAATTTTTTTTTTCTCCAATAATATCCTACAACTAAAAAAACCTACAAAAAAATCCACTTCCCAAACACCCACTGTGCCTTTTCTGATTTTTAATCTAACCCAAATTATTATTTTATAGCTGTGTTAAACTCCTCTCATTCGTCATTCTCTACTCTCAATCTCTTCATGTTTTTGTGATCGTGAGTTTTGAAGGGTAAAAACCCTCACAATCTTGTTTTTGGTGGGTGAATGCATTTTTCTTCAAATCAGACTAACAAAAACACTAAGGTAAGGATTATGTATTTTGATTTTAACTCTTTCTTTACAATTCTCTTATCAATCGGTTCTATCACTTTAAACCCTAGACTTCTGTATTTTTATTTTAATTTTTTTCTTAAAATTTCTTTCATCAAGTAGGTCTATGATCCACTCTTGTGTATACTCTTTGTTTCTATTATGTAAGCATGTTCTAATGCTATTGGTTTTTTAATAATAATATTTCCTGTTACATAAGCTTTTGTTATGTCACTAGAAAAACAAAAAAAATGTTATGTTATGTTTCTCTCATACTCTGTTTACATTAATAATATTTACTTTCGTTGAAAAAAAAAATACTCTTTGTTTTTTAATTTTTTTGAAATCAAACTCTTATATTTTTGCTTTTATGCTTGGCCCTTTTTTTTTCTTTTTTTTTTTAGCAAAAATAAATTTATATATATCAGGTTAAAGTCTATTCATTTCTTTATTTAGCTTTTATTTGAATTTGATTATTTTTTTAAGAATACTATTTTTTTTAGCATGATATGTTTTGTGTTCTGGAAATTTTATTTTATTTTATTGTTGTTTAAGCATGCTCTCTCTCTACTTTCTAAAAAATTAAAAAAAAAATATTTGCATGCTCTTTGATCACTTTATTTTTCCAAAAATCTAAAAATGTAATTTTTTCAACCCGTCAAACTGCCCGGACTCACCCACCAACCCGTTTGCCATGAGCAGTCGATTTAAAAAATATGAACAGTCAAGATTGGTTTATTTTTTTATTTTTTATTTTTTTATTTTTTTGATCAGCAAAATGAAAATATATAGATGATAAAGCAATATACAATCAACAAAACAACAACAAAACCGGGGGGGGTCGGGGGTTACAAAGTTTGGCGAGGAGCCAATCAAACACCCGAACTCCAAAACTGAAAAACTGAACAAGAGACAAACAAACAAAACAAACAGCAGCAAGGCGAAATTGCAGCTGAGGGCCTGAGAATTAGCACAGCAACAATCCTAACATCAATCCAAACATCAACACCTGCTGAAGGCCTAACAAGCATAAACCAAACAGAGCAACTCTGCAATGCTGGAGCTTCCTGCGCAACAATTTCTGGGCCTGAGAATCTGCACTAGTGGACAGCGGACAGCCATTACACAGAATCTGCTAACAGATTTACCTGCTAATTGACGCACTGCCTGATCTGACGGAGGTTTTAGACAAGGTCATGGATTGAGTAGTCGACCCTGAAGGACCACTTCACCCACAGAGCGATCTGCAGTTTCAACCTCTCACTTAGACCTGCAAAATCTGGATTAACCCCCTTAAATCTGCACTCGTTTCTTAACTTCCATACAGACCACATCAGTAGTGCTGGAACAGCCTGCCAAGCTTTGTGAACCCAAGACTTCGCTTTACTCCATGACCAGCATTGAAGCAAACCCTCAACAGAACCCGGGATGACCCAATGCTGATCCCACCAACTAGCCATGGCTGCCCAGCACTTCCAAACCTGTGGGCACAACAGCAGCACATGCTCCAACGACTCCACAACAGATTGACAAAAAACACACTGGGTCTCTACATTGGGAGGGAGAACCCCAATCCTCTGAAGGAAGAGAGAAGTCTTAATGCGGCCTCTCCAAGCAAGCCAGCAAAGGAACTGCATCTTGAGAGGTGCCAGGCTTACCCACACCCCAGCTGGCACTCTCAATTCAGGGCCTTTAGTTGCACCCCACCAACTCCACACCGATGATGTTGAGAACTTACCAGATGTTGATGCTAGCCAAGAGCAAGAGTCTTCAGATTCAATTCTAAGATCAGGAGATGAGTCCAGGAATGCAGTCAGCCTCTGCAGCTCCTCTTCCTCCCATGCCAACAACCTCCTTCTGAACTGGAGCTGCCATACCCCAAGTTTCTTCTTGGCACTAATTTGCTGTAATGTTCCATCCTTCTCAGTGGATAGACTGAACAGTCTAGGATACTCCTCATTCAGACTTCTACCATTGAGCCAAGCATCCGACCAAAACTGGATCCTTCTCCCGTTTCCCACTGATAGCTTGAAGTTCTGGGAATAAAACTCACCCAAAGACTGGTTATTTAAATTGAGCTGCACAATATCCTTCCATACAGTAGACGCCCCATCTGTGTTGGACAAAGTTGGTGCCCAATCCCCTCCTGAACGCCCATACCTTGAGCAAACAACTGATTTCCACAAGGTTTTATCCTCTGACCCAAATCTCCACCACCATTTTAACAACAAACAATCGTTCACCTCACCCAAATCTCTCACACCCAAGCCCCCTTGACTTTTATTCTTAGTTACCTCACCCCAATTAACCAAGTGTACACACCTCCCATCCTTTGCTCTTCCCCACAAGAAATTTGATTGAATTTTTGCCAATGCCTTAGCAACCCCCTTAGGCATCTTGAAAATAGAAAGAAAGTAAGTAGGCAAATTGGAAAGGACTGATTTAATTAAAGTCAAACGCCCAGCAAAAGACAGCAGCTTACTCTTCCAAGATGACAACCTCTTGCTCACCTTTTCCAGTATTGGGTTCCAAGTGCACTTCCTCTTTGGGTTAGCCCCTAGAGGCAAACCTAAAAAGTTGAAAGGTAAGTTCTTCAATTGGCAATTCAATCTTAGAGCTAAACCCAACATTTCATCTTCTTGGAAGCCCACACCGCATATAGCGCTTTTGTGATAATTTATTTTTAATCCAGACATCACTTCAAAACACCTCAACACCCTCTTAATATTAAGCACCTCCTCGTGATCACCTTCACAAAACACTATAGTATCATCTGCAAACTGGAGGTGAGAAATACGCAAATCATTACCTCCCACAGAGGCTCCTCTAAACAAGCCCTTCTCTACCGCCCTTGCTAGTAAGAGGTTAAGAGCTTCCGCTGCAATTATAAACAAAAAAGGTGATAGGGGGTCGCCCTGCCTTAGCCCCTTCTGAGGCTGGAATTCCTCTGTAGGAGAGCCATTAACCAACACTGAAACCCTGGCTGTAGCAATCCAACTCCTCATCCAAACTATCCATTTCTCTCCGAAACCCAGATTATTCATCATCGACCACAGAAACTCCCAATTGAGTGAGTCATAAGCTTTTTCAAAGTCCAATTTTAGGATAATGCCTTTCTTCTTCGATCTTTTCCAAGCATCTACAACTTCATTAGCTATTAGCACACCATCTAGGATTTGCCTCCCACACACGAAGGCGGACTGAACCTCGTTGATCACTGCTGGCAACACTCGCTTAAGCCTCCTTGAGAGCACTTTTGCCAAAATTTTATAGACTGAGCTCACCAAACTGATAGGTCTATAATCCCCCAAGCCTATGGGATTAACCTTCTTAGGAATAAGAACTATGAAAGAGCTATTAACCCCTCTCGCTAGCTTACCATTTTGGTGAAATTCATTCACCATACTAATGATCTCCCCTTTCAAGATTGACCAGCAGCTTTTAATGAAATTAAGGTTAAAACCATCTGGGCCTGGGGCTTTGTTCCCATCGCAATCCTACACAGCTTCCCAAACCTCATCTTCTGTGAAAGCAGCTTCCAAACTACCAACATCCGCAGGGCTAATAACAGCAAAAGGGCCAAGAAGTTTTGGCCTTAGCTTCCAATCCTCAGAGAATAGTTGACTGAAATGCCTAACCACTTCCTGCTTGACCTGAACTGGATCCTCCACTCTCCTTCCCTCCACTACAACAGAGTCAAGCAAATTCTTCCTCTGCCTTCTGCTAGCCATAATGTGAAAGTACCTAGTGTTTTTATCACCAGACTGAGCCCACATCTGCCTAGACTTTTGGTGCCATAGCCTCTCCTTGCTTCTACCCAGCTGCCACACCTGGCTCCTTACTTTTCTTCTTCTCATCAGTTCCACTTCCTCTAGAGATCTAGACTCTGCCTTCAAGTCCCATTCATGAAGCTCCTCCTCAGCCTTCTGTAATTGAGTATCAATATTACCAAACACAACCTTGTTCCACATCCTTAAGTGGCTCCTAAGCAGGTTTAGTTTTCTTATCACTCTAAACCCTGCCCACCCTTGAACTTGAGCTTCCTCCCACCTTTTCTTTACCTCTGATATGAAGGATGGATGAGATAACCAGGCATTGATAAATTTAAAAGGCTTTGGTCCCCAATCCCTACCATCTTCCTGTATCAAAATGGGACAGTGATCTATCATGTTCGGTTAGGTTATGAGTAAGGATCAAACCCGACCCGAACTGAACCGTGCACAGCCTAATGAACAGTGCACAGCCTAATTACAATGTTCTTGATTTCATATTGGTCAAGGTGAAGCCAACGAAGTACTGAAAACTAGATTACAATATTATTGATTTCGTATTGGCCAAGGACAAGTGAATGCAGGAAGTATTGAAAATTTAAGTTCAATTCCACAATAGTTGATTTTATGTTATTAACTATGTTACCGAATTTAATTTATATTGATTGCTAGAATTGGAATTTTTTCATCGGTAAAAATAAAATTTATTGTTAAATAAAATTTATAAATAAAATTCTTGTTTTTTTTGTGTGTTGGTTGTGACTCACTTTATATCATAACTCAACTAATATTAGTCAAACACGCCTAACCAAAATTAAAATCACAGTAGGTTATAATTGAATCATAACCAACACCACAACGTATCATAACCAAATACCACTTAAAATATAATCAAAAATCTTTTTGATCATAATCAAAATAACAATCACAATAGATTATAAAGTCATAACCAACATTTCCTATTTTTAATACTAATATATAGGGGAAGGAGGAGGATCCCCTCCAGTCCAGATTTTAGACTGGAGGGCATTATTTGGGCTCATAGGGTCCACTACGGGTCTTGTTTGGATAATCTGAACCATTCATTTTGTTGGACACTTTGTGCATCCCCATAAAAAATTAGGTCAATTTGATAACTGTAATTTGTTCAATTTATCGCGTTTTTAACCAAAAAAATTTGTGTTTTTAAAAATAAATCATAACTTTTTTTTGTTAAAAACGCGATAAATTGAACAAGTTAATCGGATTGATCTAATTTTTTGTGTAGATGAAATACACAAAGTGCCCGATAAAAATAAATAGTTTGGATCATCAAAATGGAGCCCATGATGGGCCCTACGGGCCCAAACAACGCCCTCCAGTTATTAGATTGATTTAATTTATTTTATTATTTATTTTATGAATGAAATGTTCGAAATGCTCAACAAAATAAACAATTTAAATTATTGAAACAAGACTATTGATCCCATGGATGCAAACAGTCTGTGGAGAGAATCCTCCTTCTATATACTAGTTTAAAAAGGTTCGTGCAAAGGCACTGGCTATTATTATAGTATATTTAAGTTTTGTATTTTGATATTTTTTTTAAAATTAAAATTTTAATCTGAGCGGATCGTGTTTTTGTTGCCGTGAATTTTTTTGGCTTTCTCCTTGTTGCTTCAAGAGATAAGGATTTCTTTATTCCTTTTCAATACTTTCCTTATAGATAGACATGTGGTAGATTTATTGCATCAAAATCATGTTCATTATGGATTTCTTTGAAAATCATGAAAGGGGATCTTGGGTTTGAATATTTAGAGTTGAAATTGTTAAATTGATTGTTGTTTGGGTTAATTGGGGAGTAGTTTAACATGTTTATGTTGAAAGAGAGAAAAAGACCTAATTTAATATTTTGATTTAGTGAATTAAAAAGAGATAAAGTTGAATAATGTTGTGTTTTGTTAACATGGATTGTGAAATTGTGTTAATAGCTGAAAGGGAAAATTTACCATGGCATTGGAATTAATTTAATAGTTTAACATGTTTGGTCGGGAAAATATGACTTTTCGCGATTAAAATGTTTTAGCTACTAAATGGATTAGTTGCAGTAATTATATATTTAGCGACCAAAAATTTAGTCAGCAAATAGAGCTTTTTCCCGACTAAGAAACTTTTTAGTCCCTAATTACTTTTCGCGACCCTCAATTGGCGACCAAGGTGGCAACCAAAAAAATTAGTAGCGGATAAATTTTGTCGACTAAAAATGGACTTTTGCCGACTAAATTTTTTGTCAGCAAAAGTGCGAGTTCCTGTAGTGATTATTTTGGATTAATCATGTTAAGTTGCGTAGGGTTATGGCTTTGATATCCATCGATTTAGTTTTGTGAAATAAAGAGAATGGATTTTGGATAAAGATTGGAGTATGTGAACTTGGAAAATTAGAGAATTGATTTTCGAAAAGAGAAAGAAACCATGATGTTTTGTAAATTCAGAAATGAACTTGAGGTTGGATTTTGAGCACTTAAATTATTGTTACTATTGTTGGACTTAAGGTCTTGTGAGAATTGGATCATGGTTTTACGGGCATTAACTACATATGCTTAGATGTTTTGTCCTTGGTCATCGGTGGAGGATGACATTGTGATGTTGAATAGATTTTGTGTATGTAATACACTCGAGTTATCTATGCTTGTTGTATATTGTGATAGTTGGAAATGTGCACACGCTGAGAATAAGAGGTACCATTACCTTCTGAGTAGCGCTTGGAGAATTGGCTGCGCTTACAGTGAGAGGTACCTTTATCTTCCAACTAGCACTTAGAGAATTGGCTGTGCTTAGCATGAGAGATACCAGTACCTTCTAACTAGCGCCTGGAGAAATTGGCAGAGGTGCCATTACCTTCCAACGGGTGTCTGGTAAATTGGTAGAGGTCTCATTCCCTTCCAGGTAGTGATTGATAAATTGGCTTATGTTATGAAATGTGTATCATTGGCTTACCATGCTTAAGGCAGGTAGAGCAGAGTTTTGTTTATCATATTTGTCTTAGTGTATCTATGTGTATCATGTGTTATGATGGTTATGGTTCAGAAAGGTCGGGTTGTCTTATATGTTGAGTAAGTAGTCATTGGGTGTCTGTTGTACTCATCTTCGTGTTAGATGTTTATGTGTACTATGAGCATATCAAATTGATTGTTGAAAGTATCTCTTTAACTTGGGCTTTAGGCCGGAAAATGTGGGGAAATGTGTTGGAGACGGACATAGGTTATGTATTGAGTTTGTAAGTAATATAAGGAAATCGGATTTTGTGAGTATATATATTTTGAAAACAAACGACTGTTACATGATATACATATATATATATATATATATATATATATTATGGAAAAACGAGAAGGAAATGTGAACGGTCTGTATTGTTGAACGAAATAGATGATTTTGGGAAAAGTACTTATGTAAATATATACTTTGGTACAAACCATCACATTATTTAAATAGTATGAGTTGGAGTATTCATGATCATAGCTATCTGTAAGTTGTTATTGTTTAGGATCATGTTGGGATCCCTCCTGGACTTTATGCTCATCCCTAGTAGCTAATCCTTTTCTGGTGAATGTTGAGAAGTAGTTCAAGATCGAGGATCTTTTTTATCTGGTGGCCACGGGGCATTTTATTTGTTTTCGGAATGCTATTGTTGTAAAAGGGTTGAACCCTTCCGTTTGTATGTAATGATGTAGGTCTACAGGCAACTTATTTACTTATACCTCTTTTTGCATTCATTGTGTATTCGAATGAGAGAACTTTATTTTATTTCTTCTTATAAATGTATAAAACCTTCATTCGTTATCTCTAAAATTGTATTATACTAATGGTTTTGGTAATGTTATCTGTGAAATAAAAGTGGGGCGTTACATTTTCTCAATAGACAAATATAAGACAAATAGTAAAATAATTCTCCAATCTAAAAAAAACTACTAAGATAATTTACTGAACTAATAAAGCAACAAAAAAAATTAAAAAATACACATATATATACAGATGACTAATTTTATTAATACATAAATCATACTCGCATAACAAATAACCAATTTTATTAATAAGTAAATCATTAAGTAAATTAACAATTTTTAATGATATGAAAAATATTTTTCAATCAACCATTTTGTTAATAAATAAATCATTAAATCAATTAACAGTTTTTAATGATATGAGAAATATTTTTCAATAAATAATTTTGATAATTTATTATTGCATAGGAGAATAGTTTTTTTTTTTCCCATGAGTATTGTGTTAAATTAAAATTTATAACAAATGATAATTGTAATTTCTAATATTATATGACTGATTTGTAACGCTCTCAAAATAAACCCATTAATCAACCAACAATAGCATGCTTAGACATAAGAAGGTAAAGCATAATTGTATTCCATCAGAGTAATCCTTACAAAATGTATTACATGTTGACAACAAAAGTAAATGCCCTAAAGGCTTACAACTTTCCAAGTCAACACTTGGTCACAAAAAGGAGCACTAGCCCTAAACAAAGAAAGCCCTTGGCTTGATATACATGTAATACAACCAAAACACAAAATGGTCCAACAGTCCCAAGCCTCCCAAGCTACGTCCTTGGAGGTGGCATGCTACCTGTACCTGAAAGTGATGTCCCATCTAGGGTGAACCAAAGCCTAGTAGAGATATGCTAAACACAATATGAGCAATAACTAAGACATTAGCAATTTATAAATGTTTGACTCTCTCAAACCAATTCATACACCACTTTCATTACATGACACATGTGTCCGTGTTTCATTTCATTTTCCATTTCTTATCAAGTTCACAACTCACAACTACGGCTCAGAACCTGGCCAACAATTTACATGAGATAGTGACTCATATTAAACATTTCCCATTTCACAATAGATAAGCATACTAGCCATATCAACATTTCAACAGATAAGCATATGAGCTGTATCCACACTTCCACAGATAAGCATATGAGCTATATCAACACTTCCATAGATAAGCATATGAGCTGTATCAACACATTAACTGATAAGCATATGAGCTGTATCAGCGGAGTGCATCCTCTATCTCCTCCCAAACAATATCCGGTTTAGAGGTCCATTCCCTATCTTCCCCTAAACCGTGGAGTACATTCCCTATCTCCTCCCACACACACAACGTATATACACAAAGGTTATATATATAATCAATCAATACATAACGTTAATGTATTCTTTCAACCGTCATACTCTATGACACATCCAATTGATTAGTTTTAGCTTGCCTAATCATCATGCATTGTCTACAACAATCAAAACTACCCTCCACCGATAGCCCAAAGCAATTATTTCTAAACAGATAATAAAAGCACCAACAGATAAAATATCCATATTTCCAAAAGTTAGCGATCAATAAATCCA